AGGAGCAGCTGGAGCATCGCACAGACGCTAGAACGCAGGCGGGCAATGCGCGCGTGCACGAGGACGACGCCGGTCCCATTCCAACCGAACCGGTTGGAACAGGGCGAGAAACCCACCCCTGGCTTATCTGGTCTGCAATCAAGCTGGCTGGCCTTGATGAATGAAGAAGTCCAATGAAAATGAGAGCAGATCCATAAGGATATTCCCAGTTAGCTTACTGGAAACAGATTAACAAGTTCTTGTTAATGTTTTTCTTTTTTCAGTTCTTTGGGTTGAATTTTAAATTAACCCAGTTTCTTTTCCGGCTCATAAGCAGAGTTCATTATTTTGCTAGTTCCTCCTTTTAGTTTCTTTTTGGATTCTTCACAACATCGCCTCTGTGTTTTAGTTTGTGAACTATTTTGGAAATTAGTATATAAATACTCTTATGAACTTCCTCTTCTATTACAGGAATCAAGACAATACCCTCATGGGTCTTGTGAACCGACATTGAAGCTTAAAATAAAATAATTTTACAAGAAGAGGTTTAGAGCCATCTGACTTTTCCCCCCTTTCCTCGAAACTTTTAACAACGTGGACTAGCGCCTTGGCTATGTTTCACCTCACCTTCAAACCTCCCTGAAAAACTGTCTGTAGCTCTGCAGCGTTTTTTCTTCTTGTTTCTTTTCTTGGCATTGGGGATGTCGATGGGCTCACTCGAAGGCATATCTGTCAAGAAATATTGCAGTTTTAAAAGAAAGAAGAAAAGAAGCATTACAATCAAGATTAATATTGGAACCTAGAAGCAATTAACACGCCACAATTACAGGCAAGCCCGATCTTGAAGACAAGCTTACATTTTCCCCATAAACTAGGACATGGGGAGGGGCTTACTTTCTTAGGCTCGCATTTCTCACACAGAAAGGAGAACCATTGTGAGTGCGGCCTTAGCATCATTTGTAAAGGTCTTAATTCAACCGCATGTCCAAAGCTTATAGATGTCTAGTTTCATCAGCATTCACCACTGAGCCAAAGCCAAATCAGATTGGATGGCCATATGATCCAACATGCCAATTCCCAATACCCTGTTTCCCTAAAAATAAGATATCCCCAGATAATAAGCCCAATTGGGCTTTTGAGCCCTCCCTCCCAAAAAAATATTGTTAACACAGCAGCCATGAAATGACCACGCTCACCGCCTCCTGCATCTCAAAAATAATAAGACTTCCCAGAAAATAAGGCCAAGCGCTTATTTCGGGGGACAAAAGAAAATAAGACTTTGTCTTATTTTCGGGGGAACACAGTAGAGGTAGTCCTCGATTTACGACCACAATTGAGCCCCAGGTTTCTGAGAGGTAGTTGTTAAATGAGCTTTGCCCCATTTTACACCCTTTCTTGTCACAGTGAATCACTGCAGGTGTTTTAAGTTAATAATACAGCTCTTAAGTGAATCTGGCTTCCCCATTGACTTTGCTTCACACAAAGTCATACACAAATACATGTGTACAATGCTCCAATTTCTCCTCAATGGATTACCGAAGACTCACTTTGGAATGCAAAAAAACAGGAAGGAGACCCCAGTTCTTCAGAGGGGGGGGGGAGAGAAGAGGCATGGATTTTGGGGGATTTTTGTTTGTATTTTGTTCACCACCCAGACTTTGGCTGGCCCTATGAACTTGATAGGGACGCGTTGGCTCAGTGGCTAAGACGCTGAGCTTGTCAATCAGAAATGTCAGCGGGTCGAATCCCTAGCGCCNGACACCGGTGCATCTTATAGTCCGAAAAATACGATATATGGAACCCTTTGGCACAATTTTCTTATAGGATTAATTAATTTGGTTTAACAAATTGCCTTGTTGTGGCATTTAAATACTTCCATTTTTGGAGATACGTCAAGGTCAGCCAGATGTTGCCATCTAGGTCAGGCGTCAGCAACCTTAAACTCTAAAGAGCCATTTGGACCCGTTTCCCACAGAAAAGAAAACATCAGGAGCCACAAAACCCTTCCTGTGCCTGACTATTTCCTGAGCAGCCATGAAACTATTATATATAATTGAATTAAACGTTCTGTTTTCTTCTGAAACTTTTTCCCCCCTTGGATTTAACCATGGTTGGTCTACCAGGGGTTGAAAAGCTCAAGAAATCACATTCCAGTGGGTGTCGCACATTGGCGGGTGTAACACATATTTTGAGCAACAGGGAGACGCAGAAGAGGAATGAAAGAGCCACATGCGGCTCCAGATATTTTTTTTTCAACTATAGCTGTGAAAGGGAAACCTGCATTCTAATGCAGATTCAGTGGCAGGGAAACATCAGTAGGAAATTGCTGTGATTGTTCCATCTTGCCCTCGTCTGAGGGATAAACTACACATTACATTCTGTATTTTTCTTTTCTTTTCCGTGTGGTTATGCCCATTTATAAGATAGAAAATATAAATAGCAGCTGGTGTTTTTCACCCTTTGCCTTCTATGCCATTATCTGGACTGCTGTCCCAATCTAACAATGTTCTCTACTAAAGCTGCTATTTGTGTTGAGAGACCACACTTGGAATACTGCACCCAGTTTTGGTTGCGGTGATAGAAAAAAGATGTTGAGATTCTAGAAAGAGTGCAGAGAAGAGCAACAAAGATGATTAGGGGACTGGAGGCTAAAACATATAAAGAATGGTTGTTTGGATTGGGTATGTCTAGTCTCGTGGCCTGACAAAACCACGCTCGTCAAAATAGTGGCGACAAAACTGCGTCGCTAAAGCTGCGACGTCATCGCCGCGACGTCATCACCGCGGCGACAACAGCGCGGCGACAGAAGGGCACTTTAAAACAGTGCTCATCAAAAGCCGATTTAAATTAAGGTAAGGGTTAGGATTAGGTTTAGGGGTTTGGTTTAGGGTTAGGTTTAGGGTTAGGT